GCAGGTTGTGATCCTGAACCAACAATGACAAGGTCCATATGGCACCATCCCAGGAGGCCTTGTTTCTTATTAGAATCCTTATTTTCTTTTCCTTTTTCTTTCTGCTAAGATGGGTTTTCTTAGAAGAATAATTTAATCCATACAAAGAAGATGTAAGCATTTAGTGTAGCTCCAAGAATATGGAACAATCCCCAAGAACCAAACTAAAGTAAGTCGATATATAATCCACTCTAATCAACCTAAAAAATATCTTCCGGACTGCATAGAGATGGGTTGTAAAGTAGATTATCAACCATATTAGGCAGTAATACCTCACAAACCACTATGTAACATATACAATCATATTAATTCAAGACACTACCTAGCTCTTGGTTAAGAAATCAGCCCATGATGGGAATAAAAATATTTCAGCCATTTACCTTCCTTAAAGATTCATTTTCCTCTTCTTGCTTTGCAAGATCAATTTGCAGTGTATCATTGCATCTGCTTTGTTCAAGACAATTTGATGTGAGCTCTTCTAATCTGTAGTATAAATTCAATGAGCATTCAAATGTAAGAACTACTTTAATCAATTTGTGTCACACCTAAAACTTTGCATTTATATAAAACAATTTTAGAGCTCATATCAAAACTACTTAACACTCCAAATTTCTCCTTAAAAGAAATGCAAAGACCACCACAAGCCATGAAACTGATGCCAACAACAGTAGCTGCAAATCCTCCCCAACCCCAGAAGTGAATGATTGCTAGAAAGAAATAAAATTACCTTGTCTGAAACTCGTTAAATTTTTGAGCCATGAGCTCCTCCTTTTCCTTAGCCTTCTCAGCCTGTTACCAGACATGTGGAATGTTAAAACCTTATTATATTTTAATGCAAGAAACACTTATATTACTGTATACAAGTATAACAAGAAGCCAGCCATAAATGAATTTGCTTAAATCAATTATGGGAATTACCTCCATAATTGAATGATCCCGTTCAGCAAAAGCAGCTGCCACACAGCCTTGGAAAAACTTAACCTGCTTCTCAGCTTCCACATTCTGGATAAACAAGCGAAAACAAATTAGAGAGACAAAAGGAAAAAAGCAAAGTTTAAATTTTACTCATGCGCTAAACCACATAAAATGATTTCATTTCAGTTTGTTGAAGAAAGTTTCTAATGTGGCCATAATTCCACAAATGAGGCGTGGAGAAACTAGGGAGATACCTTTGCAGCCTCCTTACGATGTAGGTCTGCCAGCTGAGTCTGCAAAGAGCAAAGCAATCATATAAGCTAATATGAGGGTTGAACAAGTTACAAAAAGGATAACTGAAAATGAAAATCTTACTTTAATTCGATAGGCTTCGGAAAGCTCCTCTTGAAGATTTTGGTTTTCCCTTGTGCAAGAAGCTATTCTCTTTTTCAAGTTCTCAATCTCCTGCTCCAATCCAGCTGTCCTAGTAGGGCATTAATTTCTCACTAAACATACCAAAAAAAAAAAAAGAAAAACTAAATCTTGCGATCTGATGAGGAAAAGAATTATACCTTTGAAAATGCATTCGAGTAGCCACAGCAAGATAGCTTGGTCCAGCTTGTTGCATACACAATTGTTCAATGTCTTTACGCAATTCGTCGCGCTCTACAAAACAAAATCATTTTGTTTTTCAAAATTTATTGGTGAAAAGAAAAAAAACGTAGCATTAAACCCTTGTTATAGACAAAGGAGACAATTTAGAGAGAAAAGGAAAAGGAAATTCAAAGAAATTAAAAAGGAGATAGGATCGAGAAAGCGTACCATGTTCTAACTGGTGGATGCGAGCCAGCAGTGATTCGTTGTCGTTCAAGCTCGTCTCCATTATTCACTGATTTATTAGGAAATCCAGAAGGAGAGTTGGAAATTTGTCGTAGAATAGGTTTTTCTTAGGGATTGAGGAGAAACCAAATTAACTGAGAAAAGAGGGAAAATGAAAGATGAAATTGTTTTGGTAGGAAGAGGGAGGAAGCCGTCTCTCGTCAAACGGCTCTCTCTCTCTCTCTTTCTCTTTCCATAATCTCCATCTCGGTTCGCTAACGACCTCGCTTTTACTTCAAGAGATGCCTAATTGCTACTTACTGGAGCAATTTACTCCGTGATTAAAAATAAAAACTCCACCAAAATTTTCCAACTTTTATTTTTTTAATATATATATATGAATATATTTTTATAATTAAAATTAATCTAATTATTCTCACTCAAGAGTATTTTTAGAATTTTATTTAACCAAATAAAAAATTTAACTTTTTATATTTACATGATTTTAATTAAAAGAATATTCACAAAATTAACATAAAAAAAATTCGCCAGAATGTTTTCATCTTTTAAATTTGACAACACTTTTTAAATGTAAAAGAACTTTGAAAATTTTTAAAGTCATAATTTCTTAAAATTAACAAATTGGATCAGTAAGAATCTCCAAAAAAGAAAATTCAAATTAAATCAGTAAGATGTTAAAAGTTAATTAAAAAAATAATAGTCACAAAATAGTATGCGAAGAGCACAAAAATTAAAGGGGTTATTATACCGTAGTTCCAAGTTCATGGATGAAAATGCCAATGCAAATCAAGCTACTGCCAACCAACAAAGATTCAGTCCAGTCCCCAAAAATTATTACCAGAAAATCTAGAAGAAATCATACAAGATGTGGCACAAAAACTACAGCCAGTGGATTCATTCTATAGCAAAAGGTATGAAAATGCTTGAACATAGTGTACTACACAACAGATATTTCAGATGGTTACAAATAGTTCCTACCCCTATATACATTCTAATTTCTACGGTTTCCAGCCTCCCGAGTGCAGAGTTCGGGAAATGACATCAAGTGATACCCAGAATATTCCCCTATTAAAAAGAACCAAAATAAAGGAGGAAGAATTCCAGAATTTGAAACCATCAGCAAGAAAGCCTGTTAACTGAATCTACCATTCCAGAAGGATCTGCTTGTAAGGAAGAATCCTATACATATGCACCCAAAAAGGCCTTAACCATATTTACAAATACCGATGATAACTGGGTGCATGCTACAAAAATGCCAACCTTCATAACACATTGTTGCTCATTTTGTCAAATCAACCTCGAACCACCTGTGTATACACAAACAATATTATATTGAGTCAAAAATGCTAAATAAGTAAAAATTAACAAAATTGATGGGGCAGGACAAACAATGATTGATCCTAGATATGCTGTGTACAGGATTCTTAGGTATAGAATCCACATTTTTAGATAACCAAGTCCTGCCTCTGCCTCTTAGTGTCTGTGAAAGCAAGAGAAATCAACTTGCACTCACTGTGTTGCTTTCACATCCCATCATAAAATTTGACGTCCATCCATCATATATATGTGAATATCACACCCTTAAAGTCTTCTAAATCCAACTCTTTTCATCTGTGCACGTGCCGTGATGAAAATAAATAGTGACAAGACATTCCAATCATACCACTTTCTGATTGTTTCTTCCTTTTAGAGTCTTCATTGCTGCTTCTGCAAAAGCTTGTGCTGCCTCTGCATCAGCTTCTGCAACCTCTGCCTCTCTTGCTGCTTCTTCAGCTTCTGTTATTGCAGCTTCTGCCTCTGCAACTGCTCGAGCAGCAGCTGCAGCAGCCTCTTGTGGAGTCATTGTCCTCATCTTGGCTAACTCTAAGTCAATCTGAGATTTTGTGAGGATATGGAAATCATTCCTATCAAATCGAGGAGAAACCCTTTGCCTTCCCTCTAAAAATAGCATGGGGTGATTCCTCCTCCTGTCTGAAAATGACAGAGCAGGAGCAATTCTATACCTGCGTTTGACCTACAAGTAAATGCATGGGATTAAGCCAAACCCTTTATAAAAAAAAAAAAATACCCATCTATTACTTAACTAGACATCAATATTCTAGAAACTGATATAAAACTTGCCCAAGCTTATGGTATTAATACAATCAAGAAGCATAGAAAAGAATTCTACCCAGATCTTTCAGTCAAATTGCATCTGTGTGTGTCACAGAGAGGAGTGCAATCAGCCTATTCACCATGCAATACCTTCTCAATTAATCACTTAACTTGTTCCATGAATTTTTTAATGATGCCATAAGCACAAAGAATCTTAACGATCATTAACATTAAGACCAATTGCAACCCTGTAATTATGTATAACTTACAACTCTTCCAAAACCCTAAACTGTTTTCAAAAATTATAATCACAGAACAGAATAACACCCACAGCCACCAAAATACAGGCAAATGATATTATTCATGAAACTAGATATATCCACTAATTTCTCATTCGACAAACCTCATGGCTTAGGACAAAGTAGCATCTATATGTTTCCATGCAGCATATAAATTACCTTAATCAGTGGTCCGATACATCCCATTTTAGAGCTGAAAGAACTGTAGGGTTAATAATACGCTAGGCTTTCCTATTTGATACTTAAAAGCCATGTTTAACCAAGTTAAATTTTGGATTAATTAGATTTGAACT